TATATATATATATATATGTGTGTGTGTGTGTGTGTGTGTGTGTGTGTGTAAAATATATAGAAAATAGGAAAGAACTCGTTAGATAAATAATCCAAAGTTCTTTAGTACTTTTGCTATTCTTTTTAAAAATAGTGCTCGATACAAAAGTAGAGCATAAATGAATTATATATATATATATATATATATATATATATATATATATATATAATATATATTATATATTCAATAGAGAAAATTATAGCTGAGTAGTTTAATTCTCACAGGGTGCTTCATATTTTGACCCCTGTGTCATATCTAAAGTATGCTTAGTAAATCACAATAATGCATGTCTGTGGAAAAAAAACTAATTAAATTCCCATGAGAAGAATCGTAACGCAATTGTCGTTTTCTGACAGTGTAATCTCGCAAGATTTGTCCCCATGCAGCATACACGCATGGAAGAGGCTATAAACACTTAATCAGAGGGACGGGGTAGCCTACCAATTACTCAGTCTTATGTCAACATTCGCAAAGTAATTCAGACTTTATGTTCAGTCGCCAGTTCTGATGAAGGAATTCTAAAATCTACAGTTTTTCTTCCAAACATAATCCATAGTTTTTGAGGACACCACGTTCCTTAAAATGTTCCATGTCTCCTTCAGTGTTTCAATGCCATCATATTTCAATTCAGACAAATGCAGAGAAGACTGATATACAACTGAAGAAAAACCGGAGTTCACAACGGTACAAACGTTGTAATATTAGGTTGTCCCAAAAGTTCGGAAACACTTGCGAAAAACTGAATTTTTATGCAACACAATCCAGACAAGCGATGGGTTAAGAAAGGGCAAGAGACACCGTCGGTTCCAAAACAAGATCGATTCGGCAAGAAAGTCATGTTGTGCGTTTGGTGGAACTTTGAAGGAATCGTGCATTTTGAGTTGGTTCCGAATGGTCGTGCCATCAGTGCCGAACTTTACTGTCAGCAACTGGAGCGGGTCTACGAAAAGTTGAAGCAAAAGTACCCGGCTCTGATCAACCGAAAGCGCGCTTTGATGCAGCAGGACAATGACAAGCCACACACCGCCAGGAAGACCAAAGACAAGTTTGAAGAGCTGGACGGCGTTGAGGTTCTGCCACATCCAGCCAACAGTCCTGACTGTGCTCCATCAGATTACGGCCTTTTCCGCTCAATGCAACACTTTCTGAAGGGCCGCCGATTCGACTCGTTTGATGAAATCGAGGAAGCGTGTCAAGAATTCTTTGATTCGAAGCCGGCTGAATTGTATTTTCACCAGATCCGAAAGCTTGCAGATCGATGGCAGAAAGTCTTGGAAAATGATGGTCTTTATTTTGAGGAATAATTTTTGTTGTTTTTGTTATTACTTGGCGAGTGAAATTTCAATTTTTTGCAAGTGTTTACGAACTTTTGGGACAACCTAATAAGAACAGCAAAGATCAGAAGGTAAATAGTCTAAATAATGATAGCTCCTCATCACCAGACAGAAAACTTAGGAAGATGTGGCGAGCCACGTTCGTTCAACGGCGCAGAGAAGAAGAAATAAAATATTCGTTCGCAGGCCCAGTTCATTGGCTATTTTATTTGTTTATATTCTTTTATTCTTTGGTGTGTGAGTGTTCCTCTGCGGACACCGAAGTTAAGTAACGTCAAGTCTGGTCAGTACTTAGATGGGTGACCGCTTGGGGATACCACGTGTTGTAAGCTTGGATATGTAGTTGGTGTAATGGATAATGGCTCAGAATTATTAATCAGAAATCCGAAAACGAATTCCCCATTCGGTTTGCTCTAAACTCTAATGTACAAATACTACTGGGGTAGATAGGAATCCATCTCCCTCCACAGCTATAGGTTAACTATTAAGACTTGTGTCCCAAAACTATCTCCAAAGCAAATAAATAAACCTGCGTAAAAATATTTAGATATTGGTATTAAATAACACATAATGGGTTTTCAACCGCTAAACAAAAACAATCAACCAAGCAATTATTTTGGGGTTTAATCTTTTGCTCATAGTAAAATCAAGTCAATCTTTTAAAACATATCTTTGTCTTGAATAGAGCTGCACTGACGACCCGCTATCTAAACAGTTCCAATTATTTTGTTTTTTCTTATATTTTAATCCGTCATTTTGGATCTTTTTCTCTTGAAACGGCCACCAGATGTCTTCGCTCTTTGTGAAACTAGTTTAAAAACTTCTATTGCTAACAATGGTATCTAGTTCCAGGCTAGGTTTTCTCTTGAAACGGTCTCCAGATGTCTTCGTTTTTTTGTGAAACTAATTTAAAAACTTCTATTCCTAACAATGATTTCTAGTTCCAGGCTAGGTTTTCTCTTGAAACGGTCTCCAGATGTCTTCGTTTTTTGTGAAACTAATTTAAAATCTTCTATTCCTAACAATGATTTCTAGTTCCAGACTATCTATTCTCTTGAAACGGTCTCCAGATGTCTTCGTTTTTTGTGAAACTAATTTAAAATCTTCTATTCCTAACAATGATTTCTAGTTCCAGACTATCTATTCTCTTGAAACGGTCTCCAGATGTCTTCGTTTTTTGTGAAACTAATTTAAAATCTTCTATTCCTAACAATGATTTCTAGTTCCAGACTATCTATTCTCTTGAAACGGTCTCCAGATGTCTTCGTTTTTTGTGAAACTAATTTATGTTCATCTATTGCTAACATTGATTTCTCTGTTGCAGGCTATCTATTCTCTTCAAACAGTCTGCAGATGTCTTCGCACTTTGTGAAACTAATTTAAATTCTTCTGTTGCTAACAATGTTTCCTCAGTTGCGGGAAAAGATTCTAGTTACAATTGTATAGCCTCGGTGTTTATTTTCGTGGTAAATCTGCCAATTCTTAGAGAATTAACTGTTGAGACTCCAGATGATTCTATCATGCATTTGTAATTGTGTTGGATATATTCTAACAGGAGACCCCGAAAATTGAATTATTTGTCCTATTTACATGCAGACTATTGCCCTCATATTTTACTGCTGTTATCACAATGCTTCGGCAGTTGTCATTTCCCTCATCAGATGTATTTAGATCTGGTTAACTTAAAAGGGATTCTGAAATTAACCTTTTATTTAATCTGTGGGTGTAGATTGTTGTCCTTCCAGATGTAGGGATATCTCATCTAGTTCTTCTTTTTAGTACGGCTCAGTTGTTGCTCAGCGATTAAACTGGCAAGTATCGTTATTTAGGGAAAATAATTTCTCACCCATAAATAATACGCACCCCAACAAATGATCCAAAAATTAAGGAATGTATCTATCCCTATGTATAAAACGTATCTATAAATTTTGTCAAAAAAAAAAAAAAATACGAAGACATTTTGTCGACCTTGATATTAAGAATAAAATGGAAACTAAGCGACTAAGATAATAAAATCAAAGTTGGAACTTATTGGAAAATAGCTTCAGGAATCTTGGAATTCCGTCAGTGAGGATATTATAAGGTGAATTACAATCCAAGGAATTCTGAGCTGAATCTTTTATTTAATCTCTGGTTGTAAATTATTCTCATTCCATTGCCCATGATTAAATGTATCTTGTTAAGTTCTTATTTTTAGTATTGCTCAGTTATTGCCTGTCCTATTTCTACTGCGTCCAGCTACACATTACCCGTCGCAGAAATTGAACCCACAATTAATATTTCATCAAATTCACGGACAACCGATTTAATCCACAATTGGAACAATTGTCTGTGGAGCCTTAGACCTCATCTGCCTGATCTCTATCTATAAAAGGCAGGGTGTGTGTGTGTGTGTGTGTGTGTGTGTGTGTGTGAGTAACAATTTTCGACGGATTTGCACCAAAATTTACATGCACATGCTCCCAGGTAGCGGGAAGGCCAAGACCGACTTTGCATTTCCCAACTCCCATCGATAGTGGAAATAATCGATTTTTTTCATACTTCTACGGCAGTTTTCATGTAGTTTGCGGCCATTTTCTACTGGCCAGAGTGAGAACCTATAGATAGCTGCCACGAATAGGCAGGAAGATTCTATTGGTCAGCGTGAGAGCCAACAGCTGACTAACACATGTTAACTAGCATGCAAAAAAAAACGATAGCTGCATTTGTCACAAGTGGGAAAAATTTAAATCTGCATGGCATTTTACTCCAATTGGCTCATTCGCTTGCTTAAACTCAACGTTGATTCTGATTCCACAGAACTGGGTTGGGTGTGAAAAAGTATTTGTTGTTAACATTCTTTTTTCATTCGGTTTTTCCAGTTACGAGTCCTTTTTTTTAAAGCTGATCGTTTTGTGTTCATTTTGTTTAGTTCTTTTATCGTAACAGATTTAATGTTTAGTATAGAGCTTAGAAAAAATTCGCTGTGTGAGATAGGCAAGAAGTAAGGCATGTAGCAACATCAGCACGGCAAAGGGCACTCCTTTAAAGGCAAGGAAGGGCAAAAATATTTTAAGCCAAGTGATAGCGATTGCTGTATGAGCCGTACGATTTTTGAATCAAGCACGGGCAACGCCGGGCCATGCTGCTAGTCAGAAATAAAACATAGCCTGAAGAATAACAACCCGGCAAACCTAACTTGAGCATTTGTTTTAACCCCAGTATTTAATTATTCTTCTGAGATTAGGCAGTGAACCCTAGCGTTGGTAAAATTTATGCAACTACCTCAACCAACATGTCGGGATGCGTGTGAATTACAGTAATATTCTTCTTACTTTCTATTTAATGCTTTCATTATCGGAAGATAAGACAATTGGTTTTACGATGCGTTTCTCTCACACGGTACTTCGAATCGTTGTTTTCTATACGTGACGTCCTATCACGATTTGCCGCCATTCGCCCATTGTGCCATATTTGGAAAGCTTTCAGGGTGGATTCTAATATAAATAGCTCGAGCGATAAAACTTTTTTTTAATGTTCAGATAACATAAGTAATGTCGATGATAAAACTCAAATGAAAAATAAATTTTACGTTAATTGAAATCATAAAGGGTACTAATTGCTAGACACCTATATAAGAACACGTACAACACTCGAAAGATAGATATAAATAGACTTAGAAATGCAGATAGATAGATGGTGAGAAAGGAACGGGATGAAATAGATAGATAGATAGATAGATAGATAGATAGATAGATAGATAGATTGTTTATAAGTATTTGAGATAGAGAAAGAGATGAACAGGCTGAGATAAATAGATATTAAAAACCGAAAAAGTGAGATAGATAGATAGATAGATTTTTTATATCTATTTGAGATGGAGAAAGAGGTGAACAGGCTGAGATAAATAGATATTACGAACCAAATATATATATATATATATATATATATATATAGAGAGAGAGAGAGAGAGAGAGAGAGAGAGAGATTTTGTTCATATCTATCTATCTATCTTTCATATCTTTCTCTATCTCTGTGTGTTCATATCTGTCTAGCTTAGGGAGGGAAAGAAATGACCAGGCTGATATATATATATATATATATATATATATATATATATATATATATGTGTGTGTGTGTGTGTGTGTGTGTGTGTGTGTGTGTGTGTGTGTGGAGATAGAGATGGGGTGAGATATGAAAAATAGATAGATAAATTGTTAGGTAGTGTTACTGTTGGTTGAAATTTATAAAATCAATTTACTAAAAGAGTCTTTTCAAGAAATTGACCTTCTCAAGGTAATAAATATTATCACTCTTTCTAATAATGCTAGCAGTTTCCTTGAAATGCTTTGGTGTTTGGTATTTTGGAAATTTATCAGCTTCAATACATCGATAGTTTTCTCTTCTCGCCATATGCCTTACAGATTTTTGATCTGACTGCTCTTGAAAATGTTCAAGTAATTAGGTTTCTCTTATAAATGAACAGAGCCCGACATAACAGTCTTCTTGTTTTCTTTCACACACATATATATATATATATATATATATATATATATATATATATATATATATATATATATACATATATGTGTGTGTGTGTGTGTAAGCAAATATATGGATATAGATCCGACAGTATGAAGAAAATATATATGGAAAAAACAAACAAAAATCCTTATATACAATTATGCTGTTTTAATGTTAATATGTCAACGTCGGACGTTTCGGTCTAATAAACCATCTTCAGGACATATTCATATTGTCATGTTGAATTGATAATGTTAATTATATTTTATGAATATGTCCTGAAGATGGTTTATTAGACCGAAACGTCCGACGTTGACATATTAACATTAAAACAGCATAATTGTATATAAGGATTTTGTTTGTTTTTTTCCGTATATATTTTTCATATATATTATATATATATATATATATATATATATATATATGTGTGTATATGTGAAGAAATATAGTCTTAAGGTGTTCTATATTTATGCGATAAAGTGCTCAATATCAGAGATAGAGCGTGTGTAAATATAAAAGTGAACATTGATGTCAACACTTAGAGAAGACGTCGCCTCTAAGTTTTGACTTCAATGTTCACTTTTATATTTATAGATAGATAGATAGATAGATAGATAGATATGAACAAACAGGATAGATAGATAGATAGATAGATAGATAGATAGATAGATAGATAGATAGATAGATAGATAGATGCATTATTCGAGGATAATTTTTCAACTTATTCAAGATGATCTTCGCACTCTACAATCTTCCAAATTTCTGTCTCGGACTAACAAGATGTCTCACACGTTTCACGTACGATTTCATTTACTTTACTGTTCTTAGGACTGTCATAGGTGAACCTATTCTCTCACGTGCTAAACGTCTTATGGATTGAGTTGGATCTTTTCTAATTGATCTCTTTAGCTCTAATTTGGGATAATCATCCATCTTTCTCTTGTGACCTCCTAGTGAAGTTTTCTTCTCTACTGTTTAATAAATATTCACCTTTATCTTCAGGGTTCTTGAATGGACTTTGAAGATGGAAGTCATAGCATGGAAGATGGTACCATTATTGAAGTCTTGGATGATCATTTTCCTCTCACTTTTGCTCAGTTGGGAAAACAAAGGGAGGCTAACAAAACATGAACTTCGGTGCCCAACTTTCCCTGACGACCCGTTTAGGCGAAACCTAGGTAGGTTTGTCTGGCTCACTAGGTGTATCTAGGTCTGCTCTACGGTTGTATTGAGCTCTTTTGTTAGTTAGTTGTTACTCGTATCGGGTTTTTTTTTCTTTCGGCTTCAGACCTGCATCTGTGCGATTTTTTTGTCGGCAGAAGTTCATGTTTGTAGCTCTTTCTTTTTTTAAAAACCTTTTTTTCCCTCGAGATTGATTTGATTAGCAAATCCAAAATTCTAGGGTTTTTCGAAACGAGTCTAGTTATCTATCTATATATATATATATATATATATATATATATATATATATATATATATATATATATTTATTTGGATTGATGTTAGATCTATCACTGATATTGAGCGCTTTCCAATAAGTACTGCGCATATATAATATATAAATAATATATCTAATAAATTGCATATATATATATATATATATATATATATATATATATATATATATATATATAATATAAATTTCAGTAATGACTCTTTCATGATCTTGAGTCGTGCTCGCTCATTTTTTTACACATAAAGGCATTAGAAACAATTTTTTGTCAGGTCCAGACAAACCTCCTCTGTAAACAAAGGGATTGTCTGTTAGGAATTGATCTTATTTTCATCTAGATTGTCTCTTCCTTTTGCACATTGTATGTCTTTTATATTTTTTATATTGTGACACTTATTCCCTCGATTCCAGCTCTATTAAGTCAAGGCGAAACCGGTTGGCTGGTTATTTTTTTTAATCATGTAATATATATATATATATATATATATATATATATATATATATATATATACAGAGAGAGATGGCTAGTTGTTTGAAACAGAGAAAGAGATGAACAAGAGAGAGAGAGAAACAGAATGAGCTAGATAGCTATAATCAACTGTTGAATATACAAAGATATATAGTTCCAGATTCAGGTAGATAGATATCAATGGTTGCAGATAGATATTTTAAAGATCTTTTCATTCTTTTCTCTCGTTTCCAACAGTTCGTTTCATACCTCGGCTTTGTTTTCTGGTTTGGTTTTTGTAAATAACAAACCATGACGTCAGCAACGTCATTGACCAGCCATTGGATGAAATGGGATGAAAGAAAAAAGAAAATAATTTGTTTTTTTGTTTTTTTAATACCGCCATCTTTTCTTAGTATTGTCTTTTACACGTGCCAAAATGGCGCCGATTATATCCTGAGCCAACAGATGTTAGTGAATGACCAGCCTTAGCTTTGGGCAATGAACAAAGCCAGGCAGAGTTACTAATGTCTCCAAGTTGTTATTATGGAGGAACCAACTTGTCTACGTTGCTCTTGAAGATTTCGCACGTTTGAAGAAATTACGCCCGAGAAACCCTCTCAGAATATCACCAGTTATTTACACTATTTACATTTTTCGGACTGTTGTCCTCATCTTCGTTGCTATATTTATGACGTTTCGGCCGTTTTACTCTTCGGCCTTCTTCAGGTGATATGAATTTTGAATTGAACTCTATTTCGTCTACTAAGTTTGATTGTTCTAGTTCCCTGTGCTATGCTGATTCCGAATGACTCGGTATCAGTTATCTCCCTTTAACTCAACTCTCCAAGATTTTGTTCACCTCTGCTGTCTCTAGGTATTGAACTCACAGTTCTGTGGATTCAACTACACGCTTTTATCCACGTGTCCTTGAGGATAATGCGTGATGAATTTGCCCCCGATTACAGACTCCTTCCTATAGACACAGTTTCGCAAATGTTCACACCAGGTCATTTGTTTGTGATTTACTAAACATAGCTTAGTTGTGGCACAAGGCCGAAAATATGGGTCACCCAGTGATGATCGAACTTAATCATAATTGCTAACCATTATACCACGTCGAAGTGACCAAACCAGGTGATTTGTTTGGGGCTAAAAGCTAGTAATTTTATAACCAGAGTCTATCTTGCTATATCCACATGATTCTCTATTCGTATTCTCTCTCAAAAATGCTCTCCCCAGGAACCGCTACACTGTGGAAAGGATCCTGCGCAGATACTTTCGCCGACACTACAAACTTGTTTTTTTCAAGTCTAGGATTAATCATATGCCATCATAATCTTCACGTGTTGATTTCTTTTCTTATCTTCATATCACACAACTCATTCAATGCCGCTCTCCCTTGAGTGTCTCTTGACATCTTTATTGGGTCTACATTTAAAAAAAAAGAAGTAAAAGAAGCTTAATTTAAACACAAGACAGCCCTGGGTATGAAGATAAATTACATCCGCGTCCTAGGTAAGACGATTAACTGTTAGACATTTTCATGACGGTCGTCCTCGAGTATAGAATCCAGAGGTTGGCAGTGAATATTTCGGAGACAGTAAAAAAGCATAGTGGAGGTTCGCAGTGGATATCACAACATAGTTCATCCTATTCCTGGTCGCCTTTGGTCCTTCCGGTAGACGAAACAAGATGACCGCCTTTATACACAACGAATACAGTGTTGTGCGGCTTCGGATTGGTCATCCTTCCATTGGTCGACTATAAAGGGAAATAAGTCATTCTGACTCGCTCACGAGTTATATGTATTATATACCCAAAAAAAACGTAACAGCCCCCCTTATTTTGGGTATATTATGGAATCTTCCTTCAAAATATTAGTAAAGTTAATAAATACTTTAATTCCAAAAATTATATTTTTTTTTATTTTTTTGCTTTAAATAGGTAATATTAATATGTAACAAATACTTTAGTATTGCAAATTTTATTTTTTTTTTATTTTTCTTGAAAATTAATATCCACAAAAATTAGTCATATCACTTTGTTCACAATTAAGTACTTCGGGTTAATAAAACATGAACAACAATATTATAAGTTTAGATTGCGATCACAGCAAAAAGTGGAAAGAATTGTTACTTTACCCATAGCTGGGACCCATTAAAACAGTTACTATCACTCCGGGTCAGGGTGATCCAGAGAGTCATTTGTTATTTTATCCATAGCTGGGACCCATTAAAACAGTTACTATCACTCCGGGTCAGAGTGATCCAGAGAATCATTTGTTATTTTATCCATAGCTGGGACCCATTAAAACAGTTAAAAACATCAGACAGCAAGACCTTTGATCAGAAGGTTTTGAGGAGCGTGGAACCACCAATAAATTGCTGGCGTTCCCAGGTCCACCCTGACCCGGAGTGGTAGAACCTGTTAGTGCTTCAGCTATGGGCAAATAGTTGACACCCAATTTGGGGTCAAAACACTATGAAAGTGTAAAAACAGGTTTTAATATCTGCAATACATTTTGTAAAAGATTGTTACCAGCAATTAATTTTTGAAGAAAAATTATTACCAGTAATCCATTTTTGGAAACATATTAAAAAAAATATTACCAGCAATAAAAATCTTGTCGGCATTAAATAAACCATTGAGATTGATATGCCGTAAAACAAACCAAACCAAAGCAAACAGAAGATATGAAAGGCGGCATCGCTTGCGAATCAAACACGTTATATAGAGTCGACATTTTAGTTGACTATGTACAAGCCCGCTTGCCTACACTCTCGTGGTATACACCCTGAAATAGCAACCTAGTATCGTACAGATTCACTCTAGCCTGACGAACCTAACGTATTATCATAGGTCAACTTCTAGAGAGACGTTGACCCATGCCGTCATGATAGCTGTCCTCAGCTTCATAATAGTTGTACGAGAATGGACTGAAAAGTTCATAGGCTAACTACGAAGGTGTTACGCTAGACTTGTGAATGTTGTTATGCATTCATTTCAACTCTTCTCATTAATAACTGTATCGATTCTTTTCCAAGTACAAGGATGGGCTGAAATGTTTATAGGCTGAATATGAAGGAGCGCTGCTAGAGCTGTGAAATCGTGCAACCATTAATTTCATCTCATCTTCTTAATAACTGCATTATTTCTTTCCAGGTACGAGGCTGGGCTGAAAAGTTCATAGGCTGACTTTGAAAAAGAGATACCTGAACTGTAAAATCTTCAAACCATTATTATTAACCTCATCGTTTTTTTGTTTTTTTTTTCGAGGTAAACAGATATCTGTCGAAAAAAGTTGGTCAAAACATCTTCACCAGCAGGCCTGACGTTATCATTATTGAGTCTTTGTTTACGGCGTTTCAAAACTCTGAAAGCCGATATGCATGAGGATTGCATAAGCGTGAAGTTTGTTCGACCGACCAGCTATCGACGAAGAATTTGTTGAGGCACTGAAAATATAAGAATTTGGTAAGACGCTGAAAACATAATAACGCTCTGTAGAAAAATATTTAGGTTAATGAATTTAACGATAGCCAATTCTGTCTGAATTCCTAGCATCTGCAATTATCATTGCAAGCGAACTAAATCCTTTCTTTATAATCGCAACGTTTCGACCGTTGTGCTATTTGTCCATCTTCAGGTGTCTCTCGACCCAGGTCATCCTCAGGGAATTTCGAACTGAAATCTTTATTTAATATACGGGGTTGTTATTGTATAAGATAAGATATCGCACTGTCGAGTGATATCTTGTGAAGATCTTATTTAGTAGTAAGAATCGTGCAGCCAATAGGGTGGCTAGCTAATCCCCATTACCGACGCCTGCTCAGGCACATTTGTATTTTTTCAACACCCAGAGAGCCCACATTTGGTTTATTCTGCAACTACGCTGAGCGGAAGGAACGCGTTATCTAGCGCGATCAACAGTCTGAACAAGTAAACGCGCTCAAACCCTCGGCCACGATGACTTGTGACTTTGAGGGTTCCGTCTACCCAATTTCACTCAAAAGGCTTGGGTCAACCCGTGGTATGGTTTTCAGGCACTATCCAAAGGTGCCGCACGCCGGAATCGTCTTCTCCAGACTCATAACATCAAGAAAAAAAACCCAAAAATTGAACTCGGGCCTCAGGGTCAGAAGGCAAACGATTTAACCCCTCAGCCACGTGCCCATATTTTTTTTTAAGCATTACGCCCCGAGCAAGGCATGAAGCCACTAGGATGCACGGGGGTTGCAGAAGATTTGGAGCGAGAGCGGATAGGAGTGATAGAAGAAAGGATGAGGAGAAGGATAGTGGGTAGATCAAGTTAACTGGAGATGTCGATTGACATTACATTTGAATAGTTGGAGATTATAGCTCTCAGGGAAACAGTAATTGGGAAGGGTGTTCCATAGGTGAAAGGTGCGAGGTATGAAGCTATTGGAGTAGAAGAGACGGCTACATTTAAAAGTTTCTACTGTGAAAGGGTGAGAGCGGGATGCCAGCCTCGTAGGGCGCTTGAATTCATGGAGTCTGGGAACCAGTGAAAGCAGCTCAGCGGAGCAATTACGATGAAAGTATTTGTAGAAAAGACAGAGAGAGGCGACGGTGCGTCTGTGAGAGTGTGACTGTAGACGAGACGCCAGATCAGGGCCAATTATATTACATATCCGTCTCTGGATCTTGTCAAGAACTCCGAGGTAAACAGAAGGTTTGTAGTAACCTGTTATTAATCGCCCTCTGAATCCACTGAATCTGTATTAGTTAGAGACTGAACTCAGCAGATATACTTGGATTCTCCAGAAACGTCATAAGTAATATCATTATCAGGCAGATATTTGCAACTTTTTAACCTTCTTTTTTTAAACTTTCCTTTAATATTTCATAAAACCTTTTTAAGCAGCACGTGAGAAAAAAGTTATCCACTGAAAAGTATTTATCTTAAATTACGAATAAATTCGGAGGGTAATCACTTATAATTATTTTTTATATCTACTGTGACACTATTTAGGGTTGCTAGAAAGAAAGAAGAAAAAAAAAGAAAAGGCGAGAATTAAATTTAGGTGATAAGAAGCAATCACGAACAGGAAACTAGACGATGGTATTTTTTTTTCTAACAAAGAAAAGTGCAAAATGTTTTATTCTCATTAGCGAGGAAAGTAAGGTCGCGGATGTGTCGGATTTGATTTGATTTATGACGGTGCACCGAGTATGGCAATAATGAAAGTTTCAGGTTGGTCGGGTGGCCTACGAGACAGAATTCTAAAGAGATAAAAATTAATTGGGTCGCGGAAAAATGTCCGTTGGACCAGCCGCAGAATTACAAAAA